AAAAAAAAAAAAAAAAAAGAAATAGGAATAGATGGGGCCAGACACGGTGGCTCACGCCTGTAATCCCAGCATTTTAGGAGGCCGAGGTGGGTGGATCATGAGGTCAGGAATTAGAGACCAGCCTGACCAACATGGTAAAACCCCATCTCTACTAAAAATACAAAAATTAGCTGGGCATGGTGGTGCGTGCCTGTAATCCTAGCTACTAAGAAGGCTGAGGCAGGAGAATTGCCTGAACCTGGGAGGTGGAGGTTGCAGTAAGCCGAGATCACGCCACTGCACTCCAGCCTGAGCGACAGAGTGAGACACTGTCTCAAAAAACAAAAAAATAGGAATAGATGGCATTAGCTGAGTCAAAGAAGTTACTCTGCCATGTCGAGCCATTTATGAAAACTTTATCCAAAGGGGTAACTAGTGGTTTTCATTTAGAACCAGAACATTTAAAATATCTTAAAATGATGGTGAAGATTACCAACTAATAGCGTTCAGAGACTGATTTTTTTTTACCTATTATTTATACATTGCATTGGCACTAGCTATAGTGTGGCATTTCGTATGTTAACTGCGTGCTTTCTGCATTACTATGAAAAGGGTGCACTTTTATTTATCACTTGTTCCCACCATTGTATTGGCTTCTAACAGATGTTAACATAGTTCTTTGGAAAACAAATATGAAGTCATCATTATCTCTGAGATCTAAGGCTTACTTACCTCAATTCAAGCACTTCCCTTTGAACCAAACTATACTTAGTTGAAAATAACCTACCAACAGCCTCTTAGAAACACAAAACTCTCCTTGTTGTAGATGGTTGATTAAATTGAAGCGTTCTGGCTGCTCTAAGTCCTCAGGATAAGAATTTTTTAAAAATATGTATGGCCTTAGGCAGAGAAAATTGTAATGTCTGATAAGTTGTGTATCTCTGTGTACATTGGTTTTGCATTTATTGTACCAATGATGTGGTATAAAATGGTGTAGAGTGAAGATTTACCAAAAAAATGCATACAAGGCAAGACAAACAGTAGATAGCTAAAGTGACTGACTCTGTAGAACCCAGGGAATAGGTGTGCAAAGAATATGGGAAATGCTCTTTTTTTATAAACATTCATTAAGCACCTAGTTTCAACTATAATTGCTTTCAAATGCACACTAAAAATGTGTGTGACAGAAATTGTCTTGACTTTATTATAATAGGACACAGATACAGAGAATTACATAAATTCCCTGAGGCTACACTATAAGTGGCAGAAATATTATTCAAACCCAGGACTCCTCACTTCTAATTCAGTGTATCTGTCAGACACACACCAGAACTACGTACTTTTTATGATTATTAAATAGGGGAAAAGGAGCAGTCACATATATACATTTTTAAACTTGCAGCCTACCCAGCGGTGTAGAATGTCAACCGAGAATGTAATGAAGAAACAGTATTTGCTTATGCCATATTTTTTGAATACAATAAAACATATTCCATTAAAATATATCAACATATATGTAATACTAAATCTTCTGGGCACATTTACTCAAAAACATTATGTATAAGTCACCGGCCTTTAAGTGATTGGTATCTTCAAACAGGGTATCATTTCACATGTTTAAGTAGACTAATATCCAGGAATAGTTATTAAGAGCACAGTTAGTAGATGAAATGTTACAGTTAAACTGGTCCTTTGCCTGGCCCATGCATGCATACAAACACACACACATCCCTTTTTTTCATAGAAAGTATCAACCAAAACACCAGAGTAGAAAGCAGCAAATCACCTCCGGTTCCCAAATACACACTCATTTTTACATAGCAATGCAACTGATTTCCTAAACAAAGAAAAACTGTCAGTCTCATTCAATCATAGCCACAGCCAAAAGCAAGAGTTTTCTCCCCCAAATTTAAAGAATTTCACACTTCTCTGTGCTCCTCTCTGAACCTCATTAAGCATGCTGACAAGCACGCTGCCTAGTACATCCCTCCGTGACCTTCTTCTCCTACCAGGTGGCTTTGACTTCCTCAGAGAGGACCAGTCATCCCCGGTCCCCGACTCAGGGCTTAGCTCCAGCTCCACCTCCTCCAGCATCAGTCTGGGAGGCAGCAGCGGGAACCTCCCACAGATGACCCAGGAGGTAGAAGACGTGGACACAGCTGCTGAAACAGATGAGAAGGCAAACAAGCTCATTGAGTTTCTGACGACCAGGTAATAAGGGGCTGGGAGCCACGCTGCTGTTTGCAGGCCGGTCTTTTGGAAAATTGCCAATGCTTTAAACTACACAGATGGAAAAGTGATCCTGGGGTTCTAACAGAGTCCTCTTTCTCTTCTCAATTGCAACTGTTGGAGTCTGTGTGAAAGGCAGACGTTGGTAAAAGTTTCTAGGATCCCACTGATGTGACAGTTGATGGGCAAGGGTATTTTGTGGATAATGATGATGCAGCAGATGGAGGCAGGAGATGGCAGTGCCCCACGGTGAGCATGCCTTTAGTCATCTATCAGAGCTGCCAGGAGTTAGGAGCTCTGAGATTTGGTAAAGAACATCACTCTGGAAACCAAGGATATTAGCCATGGTCAACCCAGAAACAGCTGCCGAGGGGACCATTATCTGTTCGTCTGGTCCAAAGAGTAATTTGTAAAAGGCGGTCAGAAATGAGAAACAATAGGAAGCATAATAGGAAAGAAATCAAAACAAAGAAAAACTGCAAGTGGTCCTGGTCAGGTCTTTTGATTCTTCCCTTTAACCATTTAGCTTATAAGGCTTCAGGATGTCTAACACCCTGCGGTGTGGTATTTGTGTAAAGCATGCTTACCTGTGACTGGGTGGCATCCTCTCCTTTCTCAGTGAATTAAATCCTGGAAATCTAGTCTGTGTATGTGTTACCTAATATCTCTTGTGATTTTGCTTTCTTCAGCTAATGCATCGATTAACGTGAACGATAAAAAAGAGTATTTTCTTTCCACAATTCATGATTCAGGTTATTTTGTGCAGCTCTCAACTTAATGGAGGATTTTCTCTGCAGGAAGCTTAGGATGGGAGCTGATGGTGCCTACATACAGTACTCCTGCACATACAGGGTACTTCAGAGACCTGAATGATTTGTGGGAAGGAAAAGTATTGTCACCGCTCACCATCTGTCAATATTACATGTTGGGAATAACTCTTCTCTGAGATTCTCCTACCTGGCTCCCTTTCATTCTTAGTGTTGAAAACCAAGTAGATGACAGGGGCCATGTCTTCAGTTTGATCCTATGGTGTTTGCAACTTGATGTGATCCTGATAAAAGCCTTATCTCTGCAGATGCTAAAATGTGAAAATTGAGTCCATGTCTGAATCTATATTTCAGTTAACAATTTATATCATTTTATTTAACACACAAACATGTAGCACCTATGATGTGCCAAGCACTGTTCTGGTGAATTGGAAGGTTTTATTTTTAATTTTGTAAATGAATTTAATTTAAAACATTTTAAAGTGCCTCCATAAATTACTAAGGTGTGTTTTGAGTATGCTGGTAAGGTTTATAAGACTGAAAT